AAGGTAGATATTAGAGGTTTATAGGGAGATTGATTTATTTGGCTCATACTCATCCTGATATTGCCTATGCTGTGAGTGTTGTGAGTCAGTTCATGCATTCACCAAATGTGGATCATATGGCTGCTGTTATGCGTATCTTGGCATACTTGAAGTTGGCACCTGGAAAATGAGTATTTTATGGGAAACACGGGCATTTGAGAATTGAAGGGTTTACTGATACAGATTGGCCAGGTGATGTAACCGATAGACGGTCTACTTCTGGGTACTTTACCTTTGTTGGAAGGAATTTGGTGACATGGCGAAGTAAGAAATAGAAAGTGGTGTCACGGTCTTCAGCTAAGATCGAATATAAAGGAATGGCTCAAGGAATTTGTGAAATCCTTTGGCTACGAAAACTTCTCTTGAGACTTGGGTTTAAACCGAAAGAGACCATGAAGTTGTATTGTGACAATAAGTCAGCAAGAGATATAGCTGATAATCCAGTGCAGCATGATAGAATGAAGCATGTGCAGGTGGATCGGCATTTTATTGAAGAGAAGCTTGAAAAGAAGATTGTATCAATACCGTTTGTGAATTCAGAGGAGCAACTTGCAGATATTCTTACTCATGCAGTATGTAGTCGAAAGTTCGGTGACTCACTTGTCAAGTTAGACATGTGTGATATCTATGCACCAACTTGAGGGAGAGTGTAAACGTGAGTCATTAAAAATAAGTATGTAAATATATTGTAAATGTTAGGAGTCCTTTATTAGGAAGGTTTAAGTGTTGTGTCCTTTATTGATTATTGTTTCCATATAGAATAAGGATTGTATTTGTATATATTTCAAGGAAGTAATACAATGAAAAATTATCCCGTAAAATTCTATTATAAGGACAAATCCACCAGTGTTTGCGTGCACGGCTCTATAAAAATGGAGAATATTTTTGTTCGAAGCCCTCAAATAACTGTGATGTTCAGCACTTATGAGTTTTAGTTTTACGATATGTGCAATGTGTAGGTATATCAAAATTTAAACACATTTAACAGCAAAAATACACTCTGTAAATATATAATCTTAAGCGAAAGCAATGTCCACGTAGTATATAATGTGTGAAAAATGTACAAAAAATGAAAGACGAGAGGAAAATAGGTAGCTAGCATCCTCAAAAAGTTTTGTGTGATTCCTTCTCCTTTTCGAGCCATGATTTGCGTACTTCTGCATCGGCACGTAAAACCCTACGTGTTTTCCTGCTCTTCCTCGACCTTGTTGTAATTTAATTTACACCTGTTCCAAATTTTCAACTCGTAAACTAACCAAGAATAAAATAAAAGCTACTGGAAATTAGTCGAAGGTTATTGGCCATAAAAAACTTGATACAAAAACTACCTAGGGTATGAAAGATATATTCGTCTTTCTGGACAATTGCTACAAATAAACTGCCCAGTTGTGTTATGTAATTTCCTTCTGTTTATGATAACTTGGATCTCTAAGTTTATCCAAGTTTAGTGACTCAACCTGACAATCAATGGAAGAATCTAACCATGATTTTAAAAGAACGAATGTCTGGAATTCAGTTGAAAATATGAAAACCTCAAAACTTATTGTTGTATGAATAATATGTAGATAACAAGATGATAATAAATGTTTTTATACCTACTCAACTCCAGACTCGTTCAGAATCCTAATTGAAAGAAATTTAGGATAATATCAAAGTTCCAAAAATACGCCTAAAACTTGAAAATGCATATATTTCCATCATTTGATTAGTGACATCATTCTCTTCGTATCATTGGTTAGATATCTAATCAACTTACATGGTAAGGACAGATAATTACTCAATCTTTTAGGATGATTTCAAATTAGTTTCAATATTTTAAAACATTTTAAATAACTACCTAACGTTTTGAAAATTTAATATTTGTTAGGTCATCAGCGTTAAATGGTGACTTTACCAACATTAAGTGAAGCATTAAATGATGAGGTGAACAAATACTTAAGTTAGTTTTCATTCATCACTATCTTTGGAGCTCTACTCCTCCAAAATCAACCCTTTTAGGCAAGTTAAACCATAAGTTTGCTTAGCTAAAATGTGTCGATTTGGAGATTCAAAGCTGTATAGATGACTGGAGAGTTAAAACACATCATCACTTAACGCTAGTAAACCTAACATGTGTACATTTTTTAAAATATTAGGTAGTTATTTGAAATGTTTTAAAAAGTTAATGACTAATTTAGAATTACCCTTAAAAATTGAGTAATTATTTGAACTTAACCATAACTTTTATTTCACAATATTAATGTAGAGTTGACCTTATATATTCTAATGTGATTTCAAAATTTCTGATTATTTATTATAAGAATCAATGAAACAAGGATTGATATTAAAAAGTCCAAGTCATGAAAGAAAACGAAAGTCTTTCAAGAACAGTCCATTAACTTGCAACTTGTTTTCCAGCTTTACGAAAAATTTAAGCCCTGCCACAATGCGGGTTTTGACGGAGTCAAAACTAATTAAAGCTCAGTTTGTATTTTAGTCCAACGGAATGGACTGTACATCTTATTATATATTTTTCATAAAAGGAATTATTATTAACATTTTAAAAAATTTATTTTACATTTTAAATTTTTCATAATTAGAAAAAAAAAATACATTTATGAGGAATATATAATGAAATTTTTAGAATGCTAATTACAATTTCCGTTATAGATATACAAACATATACATATATATATATATGTATATATAAAATTAAGCAAAGGGATGGATGGATGAGAATGTTAGAAGAAGAATGTGAGATTTGTTTTGTTGTTGGTTGTTGGATTATTCAGATCAAACAGCAACGATCAATTTATTACTTGCGGTCCCTTCTTTGCAAGGTCAACTAAGCGTGAAGATAGACCGAGCTCCAAAAACCAGAACTCCAACTTGGTTCTTGTCGTGCTGAATTTGGCACCCTAAAAAAAAAAGTAAAATAAAACTTAAGTTCTTAATTTTATGGACGTAGAATCTTGACTTGGACTAAATATACACATTAATGTTGTTTAATATGAGTTATAAACTGTGTGGTAGTGGTGGTTCACGGGAACCAAACTCTGTGGTCCGCCGGATTTTGTGTAGGTGTTCTTGGTTTTGTTATCCCAAACCTAAACTAAACTAATCCACAGGACCACCAAAAAAAATTTTCTAATTTATTTATGGGGCATTTATTTGGCGGTGCTAAAGAGATCATGTACTTGAATCATATTTTGTAGGCTACATGATGTTGCGGTTGATGGTTGGATTCTTTTCTTTAACCATTAATATAAAAAAATCTAATCATCATCTGTCATATCATGTGGTTTACAGAATATGATCTTAAAACATGTTCTCCCTAGCATTTTTCTTAATTTTTATTGTAGTAATAAAACTTTCTTGTTGGCTGATCACGGCTGCATACAACCTCAGTCGTGCTAAGTAATTTAAAAATTTTCCACATACTCGTTTATAATTGTTTTTGTAAGAAGTACTATAGCTCATATGTGCTTTTTTTTTTTTTTTTTTTTTTTTTTTTAATAAGAAACGCAACAAAAATTTATGAAAAACCCTAATGCTTGTAGAAAAATATTGGAAATTGCTTCCTAAACTCTTTTTGTTAGGTAATAGAAGATGTTTTACGATTAAGAGTTAATTTAGTTGATTCCGGCAAATACTTTTATAAATAAATTTTCATTATCTGAACACTTTTATTCATTTTAAAAGCATTGCAAAACACATCGTGTCTGAAATAGTTTGCCTTTTCAAATTCTAATCCTCTATTACAAGGACTCGAAATGGTGGAGAACTACAATATATATTCAAAGGAACAGAAAAGACCAGATAGGCAATGAATGAACTTGTATGAGTTTAGTAGCTAACTCTTTACGCAAAAGTGCAAAACACAAACCTTACAAGAAAAATCCCATCTCAAACTTTCTCATGTATAAAACATTAACTTAAGAAGTGGCTTGATTTACCTAAAAAAGTAAAGATGAAGAATTGCCAATGCTTTCACATTAGATGCTCAATGACTTGCTTATTTTGTATGCTTTACGAAGGTCAACAAGAACAGCAGTGACTTCTTCCTCCCTACTTCATGATGAAAGATGCTAGTATCAGTCGTCTTGATAAGTGCCGTGAAATTTTTACTGTTAGTTAATATGAGTATCACACAAATCATTAGCAAATACTGCATTGTGAAAGATGCTAACGGCAATCGCGCATGGAAATCTAATTCAACATGTCTATTATTGATTAATGTGAGTCTTCACGTAAACCAGTGATTGATCCACACTAGGACTAATACTAACACGGCTCTTTCATGATTCCAACTTTGACTGTGTCAAGCTAGCAACAATAATTCGGCGGAAGATCATCAAGTGCAATCACACCAACTTGTTTGAACTTAATCAAGAACAGAAGGGTATTAACTCGATAGTTAAACTGATGAATTGCCTGAGAGGAAAACTTTTTCCTAAAACTATACAAACAGGAACATAATTTTCCCTCTTTCAAAAGCAACTAGGGTTTTCTTCAAAAATTAATCATTGTATAAGTTGACTTCATCACATTAAGGCCTTAACATCATGTCATTTCTGACTAAAAGTGTAGGACTGCAAATATTATATCAGAAACCGTCCAGATCTACGACCCTTTTGAGGAAGGATTAGATGTGCACTGACATCGCGTTTCAAAAAAAAAAAAAAAAAGATGTGCACTGACATCACTACAGACCCAGCGTTACGCCACCTTAATTTCTGCCGGGGTTTGCCGACCAACTTCTTTCACATCGGAGTTTCCGTGGGTCCATAACATAATTTTCCATCCTAATGTTTTAAATTTAATTCATAGACTCCTGCCGGTTAGTTAAGAGCATTCACCTCGTGCACTGAGGTCTTGAGTTAGGTCTCGACTTTTCCCCAGTATTGCTCGTATAGAACGATCATAACTGGCTGGAAGTTGTCTTAAACTACTGGTTAACAAACAAGAAAATGAGACACGGGTTGAAACACAACTGAATATCTATTTAACAACAAAGCATGCCCTATCAATCGAGAGTTGTAGTGATTTTACACGTTACAGAACAAGCATAAATATTCCATCCATGTACCAAAACTCCACAAACAAATGTTCTCTAACGAAGCAAAATACGGAACTTGACGCGTGACAATGAAGAAAGAGTACGATTCTTGCAAATATATAGATGGTGGTCAATTCGGTCACTAAAGTTTAGAATTGAAGCATACTCCCAATTGGTGACGGTTAAAATTCAATTCATGAATCCTTGGGGGAAGCTTGTCGAATCCTGCGCTGATAAACATCCCAGTTGTACACCCGAGCAATTGTTACCTGATTAATAGTAGTCAAAGCGTCATGATTTCCAGCGATAAGCAATATAAACAGACGCATATAAGCATTACAAGTTCATAATTAATTGATTATAGACCTTAGACTATCACAAATTTCATACTCCTTAATGCCGATAATTAAAAGACGTAAAGCATCTACATATAGAAAGCATAAATCCTTGAACTGATTCTTTCAGATTTAGTACCTGGGTTATTGTCACTTGATCTCTCAAGAATTGTAGATCAGCAAGCAGAACTTCTAAACTGGCTCTAGCATTGTCTAAGTTCTTTCGTAGAAGAGCAGTAGCCTGCATCAAAGTATTACAGAAGAACTGATGCTCGCGTCCTAAACTCAAAAGTATTAAACAGCTACTATAAGAAGTGGCATACCTCTTCACAAGAATACTCCAACATGACGTTCGCACCCAGCCATAAACAGACTGAATCGGTATCGTCAATGCTAGCTCGTGAATATATCCCTTCAGATACCTCAAAATCTGTAATAAGTTCCTGTGTCGACCCAAGGAAAAAGGACCTAATTAAGAACACTTAGATGGAACTAACACCCTAACGGAGGAAAGAAACCTCAAAATATTAATTTAAATCTGAAATTCTTTATATTTCAGGAAATGAAGTGCACTCTACATTTGTGATCAATTGACATAATCAACATGTGAACTGACAAAACACCCACATTTCATGTTTAATGACCCATGACTACAGCTTCAACTATTCGGACAATAATTGTTAGAATGACTATATTCCCAACTGCAAGGCAGAGTGCAAACTGCAAAGGCATTCTGTAATTTTAGAGCTAAATATCTTGGATTTCAGTAAGACTCACAGGAACTACCATACTGATATATTACTTTTAACTACAGGTTACAAAAAGTATAGAAACAGCATTCCTCTTCCACAATCCACCCATACAACCACCATCTGAAGCACACACTGACACACACATATTTCTAAAGCACTTTTACTAAGTATAAGCGACACAACTCCGATCTCAAAATATATAAGAACCTATCTATGTCTCTCATACATAGCATAGGCATAAGTTAATTACACAAGAGCACCTATTTGGAGGAAATAAGGAACAGAAATTATTTCTCAGTAAGGAAGGCAAAATGATTTAAGTACACAAGTCATGAAACAGCTATGGTAGGGGAGATCCTCACTGAGAAAGAAAGAAATGAAAAAAAGCAGAAATGGGGAATAAAAAAGCAGTACTTAATTTTAACTTAATTAGTCCAGTCTCCACGGCAACTGAATAATGTTAAGTGAGAAACACTTAAAGAATCAAATTATAGATAAAACAAACCCTCAGTATCGTGCAACACCAGTTCGGGTGCTACAACAGTGGGATGCAAGGATTTTTTGAGGGGCAATATTTGTAAGGAAACCTTTAATTTTTGCCATAACTACGCTCAGGTATACGAGGAAACTTCAAGTCCTAAATCAAGTGAAACTAAATGTGTTCGAGGATACATGCTTCACAGATAGGAGTCCAAACAATATAAATGGGAACATTACTGGGGGAAAATTCATGCTGTTAAACATGTCATTGAAATAGAGATAGTTTATGTTATTACATTTGTTACTGCAAAAGGGTGCTAAAAAAACAAACCTCACCAGTACCCTTCTTAGCTTGCAAAGTAGCAACAACATCTAAGCACTTCTCAATATCAGGAATCTTTGCCTGTTAATCAAATTGAGAAAAAAATCACAATCCAATATCAAACACAGGCAACAAAAGGTTGGAGACTAAAAGTTGATATGAACACAGTTGAGTCAATCTAATTAGTCAGATACTTGAGTTACGGGTACCATCATGAGTGAAGCAATTCCATAACATGTACAGGTAAAAATAATATGATAGAACCAATACAATCATTTTGTCTCATACCAAGAATTTATCCTTAAAGAGGGTGAATCAAAATGGAGTCAAATTAACTGTGAAAACTTGGTTATATTTTTACGGGCAAACTCGGACCTGTAGCTACAGATTAGGCTAAAGGCAAACTCCAACATGTTACCATGCCAAGTTCAATTTCATGAGTACCGGCGGAAAACCATAAATGGGCTAAAAACTATGTCAGATACAATGGTGCTGAGTCTGCTGAAACACTTCCTAATAATCACTTGTAGTTGGGTACTTTTCGAATGAACACTCAAGCCACGCTAACTTATTGAATAAAACAATGCTATGATCTAAAGAAAAGGGATTTGCTGACCAAACCTGAAGATCTCTCTGCTGCGCTTGAAGCTTCATTTCAACCAATTTGTATTGCTGAAGTCTGCAGACACCATCACAAACAGGGAAAAAACAAACATTAACAAGCATCCATTTTAACAGTTTTTATTCCTTGAAGCAAAAAGTACCATTTTTTTTTTTACTGAAATATTCGGTCTTTTCATATGTTTCAATCCAAATTGAAAACGTACGAATCAAAAATCCGATCACAGAATTAAAATTAATTTAACGGGTTAACGGAAAAAGGTGTAAATCGAAATGGGCCAGACCTTTCTTGGAGAAAGGCAAGGGCAGAGTTAACGTCGAGGCCTAACTGAGTGAGATAGGTCTGCACGTCCTCTACGAACTGAGCTCCTGGTATTCCTCTCCGCTCCGTCACCGCCGCCGACGACGATGATGACGATGCCGTAGCCATTGCCTCTCTCACTCTCTCTCTCTCTCTAACAGACTAATTGCAATTTCACAGACAGAGAAACGACTTGTAGTTGTGGAAGCTTCAGCAGTTCGACGGAGCTGAGAATAAGTGCAGAGATGGAGGAGAGACACTAAAACGACGTCACTTTAGTTTAGGGTAAGTGTTATTGGACTGCAACCTGCAACCTTTGAGTCCAGTGTGGCCCGATGGTAATAAACAAAAAGTCCATAGTTCAAGTTTTCTCAAGCCCGTTATTAGGGTCCAATAAGTATTGGCAATTGGACTCCATCCAATCATCTCACTTATTGCATGTGGTAGCACCCAAAAGATATTCCAATTTCAAAATTCATTGGAAAATTGGCTGAAAGATGAAAATACAAATTTTAATGGTTGGAATGATTATTTTTCGAGATTTTGTTGATATATTGTCAATATTTGATCGATAGTATTGTCAACGCTTGATTGTGATAATTTCAACAACTAGGATTTTTCATTTCAACTAATTTCGAAACTTCTTTTTGTGGTGAACTTTCAGCTTCCCCCAATCTCAAAACCATGACTAAAATGCATAGCCCAATTTATGAGAGAGAACAAAGTTAGGATTATAATAGGCAAAGGCTGAACAAAGAAATTTTTACGAGGGTTTCATCATGCCAAGTATATAAAATAAGTTTTTTTTTTTCTCTTCTTTATACATATTGGGTCGATGACTGACTAACTTTGATAGAGGTCAGTACATGGTGAAATAACTTATGCTAGATTGAGCAAATGTAAATTTTTTTCCCTTAAAAACTTGCATCTGGGATACAATCCAAGCCATCCTAACTATACTTCTCCTTTTTTGTCGATAAGTTAAGAGTTCGATTTCGCCAAATGTGACAAAAACTTCAAAGTGAAAAAATCTACTTGAAGGGTTCCAAGTGAACGAAAGTGAAAGTCAAATGCATGAGCTCCATAGGCTTAATACTTGACGTTTTGTCCAGCATCTAAGACAAGATAGATTATTCATTCCCATCTTTTATCAAATTCAATGCATATGCGATATGAATGAATTTGGGATAACAAGAGTGCGACACTAGTCTTGGATTCATACGTATGCATGATCCTCAAATTTAGGAAGTCCTCCTCCTCTCTTGTCAATGTCATCAATGCTGTTACTTCCTAATTTTCACAAAGCTTTCAAGTAATTAGGCAAACTTGGCTCAGCACGAAGACCGCGTAACAATAGTATGTATTGGTCAACGGCGGCTAGGGCACTTGGATAATCATAGCGCATTATAGGAATTTTTTATAATGCTTCAAAGTATACGGAATTTTAACCGTTAAATTTTTTGCTATGCTGAAAGTATATTCTAGAGCACCATAGAATTTAATCTTCATTTATTGGCTGCGTGGTTGCATGTAATGTATATAGGTTTGGTTTATGCGTCATCGAAGCATCAAAACAAAACCTAAACTGAAGAAAAAAAAAAAAAAAAAAAAAAAAAAAGAAGAAGATACTAGTGATCTATGTAGCCTTTGAAGAGTTGAGATGGTTAAATTATCTCCTCATTAACGCCTTTTACAACGATTTATATGAGTTTAATTTATAAATGTAGAAATTAGGTTATCTTGTGTATAATTCTTAAAAAACGCGCTTTTGAATAGTGCGAGTTTAATAATTGTTCGAGCCATATTTTATTGGAATCAAATCAAATCCACACAAACTCATATTTCTAAACAAAAACTAACGAAAATTTCAAAAAAAAAAAAAAAAAAATAGTTTTAATAAAAAATGACAAATAAAAATGTAGTGAATAGTACCAGGAAAAGGTAAAAATGTGGTTTTTCGTTAAAAATGAACAGTACCAGAAGTGTTTTGTTAAAACTTTTTACCTCTCATACACCCCTCTTAATTTATAACCGTAAGATCGAATAAATTAAAGAAGAATAATAGACAAAATTAATAAGAATGGGTGAACGATAAAAATGAATATGAATAACACTTTGTAAACTAAACAATCAGAGACTCAACCCCCTTGGAACTCAGATTCTCCAACTAAGCACTGTGCGAACTTGATTACAATACGTAGGAATGATTTAAACTCAAAATTACCAGCCCAGATATTTTTCAACTGAAGAATAATTTAATAAAATGAGACTTCTTAAAAATTTGCCATCGTTTCTTGAGCCCCTCTCATCTTTTTAACAAGCTACCTAGGTACCTAAATCACTGTATCGCACACTTGTGATCATATGATTATATACTTAAGAATTAATTATCCAAAAAAGACAAATTATACGATCGTTATGCATTGAAAGACCTATGAATTGAAAGGCTAGCAATGGCTCGCCCAGAGCTCTCAAAATCTCGGAACCGCCTGCTAGTGCATGTCTAGCCTGGTCCCCGATCCATTTATCTGAATTACCCATTTTCTTGTCTCCGAAGGTAAAAAACAATTTGGCAGATCCGTGCATGCATGATGCATGCACCCCATTTACGAAAGCAAATAACATTTACTCTGTTGGCAATTTTTCTTTTAGATTAGTTAATTAACTATATCGTGATAATTCATAAAGTAATCAAAGTCTAAAACCACACATTAGTTAGCTAATCTCGGAAATTTAACTGTACAGTGATTATTATGAGCTTTTGAGAGGTTAAGCCAAACCGGCCTCTTCACGTTCAATATCGATCAAATCATAAGCCACGCATGATCAGTTCTCAGTTTATAGTAAATTGCATGATTGAGCGGAATGGATAAAACTTTGAAAGCTTGTGAAAAAACTTGTCACCCACTAAAGCAAAAGACTTGTCTAATCTAATTACTTACTAACTCTACGTGACAATATAAAAGGTCACCTAAATATGGAGGAGGATTCTCTACCCTTCTAATCTCTCTATCCTTCCATACCATCCTATTTGAATGGTCACGGTTATGCCACATCAGCATCTTATATTGTTTTTTTTTTTTTTATAGAGATAATAAGACAAAAAATAATGTGTGAGAGGAGGGGATGGAAGGGGATAAAAATAGGAGAGTAGAGAATCATCCTCTCCTATATATAACCCTACATCATAGAAAAGAAGAGTATTAACCAGCTTCTCACCTTGGGAAGCAACTTCTATGATACGGGAATACCATAACGTGACGTTTTGTGTCAATATTATGACGTTAAGTTAAATAAAATATATATTTATATTTTTAGCACGAGACACCACAATAATAACGTACATGTGTTATTTAAATCTTTCTCCACAACTTGAGCTTATTTTTATGATCGATATTGTTAATGTGGCCAATCCTGATCTACAAGCTATGAAATTGCCCTCCATAACCCACATACAATAATTGAAGTCACTATTTAGGATAGTTTTGCTAATTAATCATTCCCCCCCTCTCCCTCTAATGCGGTTTAATAATTTCATCATTTCTAGCTATGAACATTCTTCTCTTATTTTATTCCTTTCATAATTCCGGTATCAATTGGCGGTCCAAATAACCCTAGATTGAGTACCTAAGCAAAGCAACTCCACAATTCCTGGTGCATGTCACCACATATAGGGCCTTCCCTATTCAAAGACCTATAAAAAGTGACTCAAACAATGTTGTGTGTTTTCATTTTTCACTCGTTACAATATAAGGGATCGACATATTTAAACTTTAGGAACCCAGTTGATAACTATTTGATTATAAATTTGTATTAGAATGAGGTAGAAGTAAGGAAATGTACAAGATGAAAACAAAAACTGTACTAAGTTTAATTAATTTTGCTTTCAAACTTTTGTTTCCATTCATTATTCTTTTTTTGTTTAATTAGCCACGTTCTTCCTGCCACTCTTCTTTATTTTTCATTTCCCGCGTATATTTGTTTTTATAATATCTCTATAATAAAAAGTAAAAACTAAAGACGAAAGGATGTTGCTCTAGAGATCAAAATCTTAAATTAAATTTTCAAACTAAATAATATGTCACTAATAATAAATAAATACGTTAATTAATAATTAAGTAATAATCCAATCATCAACAACCATATCATTTGATTTACAAAATTTAGTTTAAAGTTTGAGTAATGCTAGGGAGACTAAATTTGCAAACTAAATGATGTGTCACCAATAGAAAATGAGCACGTTTATCAACGTTTAAGTAATAATCCATTCATTAACTTCCATGTCATTTAGTTTACAAAATTTAGTCTACACATTTAGTCTCTCTAGCATTACTCTTAAAGTTTTAGTCTTCCTAGCATTACCCAAAACGAAACAGTTATACAATGAACTCTAACTCTAAATTTATGTATAAGATGGTTGGCCCTGCGGCCACCGTGTTTCCTACCTTCAAAACCCTATTGTTGCCCTCACCTCAATGGACACTGGTAGGAGAAGTTGTCGCCATGCAAGACGACGAACCCGATTTGTTTCACTACAATCCCAGTTGGGATTATCATATGAATCAACTCTCTCTCTCTCTCTCTCTCTCTCTCTCTCTCTCTGTGGACAGATAGTGGTGAGTGCTGATCATATGGAATTGCCATCTTCTCCACGACCTTTTCTTTTTCTCTTTTACTTTATTTGTTCTTGGAGTTTAATGGACAAACCCGCGACCCCTCCATGTGGTCTAAACAACTTTTAATAGTCTGGAGTTTACGAATTTCAAATGCATGTCCTTTTCTTTTTCCTGGCTTTTCTACTCACATGGCGCAAGTGAAAAAAGTAGATAAAAATTAATTTACACAAAAAGGGTCAGATGGAGAGAGAGAGAGAGTGGTTGGCTGGTTGCTTACATGGTCGAAGAAATTAAAAGGTGATGCAATGCAATACCGATCTATGTTGTTGGTCTATGCCTTGACAGGTCACATGCGACTAATGATTTTCCTCATGCGTACCACTACATATATATTATATATATATATCTTCTTATAATCTTTGCCACAGTACCAACTTAGCACCCCTTCCTTTTCTGTTGCTTCACTGAGTTTAGATCAATTTTCACATTAGAACTTAATTGGGTTGCATATTTGTTAATTCAAGGTTAGTGATGCTTTATAGTTTGAAAATGCAACAAACGGGTTTTGTCTTCATGATCATTGCGTGAATGATTCTCAACCGTCAATACTATTTAAACTATTATATATGTATATGTAGATGACAATCACATGAAAACATCTTTCATCACTAACATATACCCTTTGATATTTATACTAATATCACATAAATTGCTACCCTTTTTATATTTATACTAATAAATGGTCCCGTCTCAACCTTTTGGAGAATTATGTATTTGAATTCTGGAGTGTGAAAGAAAGAAACTCTTTCTCACTACTGATATATATAAATATATGGCAAACTCAATTCAAAGGAAGTAAAATAACATCTTTTTAAGCTTGATTCCATATAAAAAAAAATTTAAGAAAAAAAGAAAATTAATTAATTAAGTAAAATTAGTGGAAGATATAAACAATGTTATTTGTTTCTATAACTTAGCTGGAACAAGGATTTATCTACCTAACTTAGTTTACTACGCTAACTGGCCCAAGAACTTCATATCTATCCAACTCTGAATACATATTAAACAAATTAATCAAGTGCATGCAATACAGTTCTGCAACTTATTTATTATATCTTTCAGAAGCAATCGACTTTACTGTTCTAAAGAAGACTCATTCAATTCACTATTTCATGGTAAAAATCAACACACACACACACACATATATGTAAAGCAAACACGCATGCTTGGGCAGTACTATTGATGTAAATGCTATGAGAGTCACATGCTTGCGACTAATGAAATGATGCTTTTGTGGAGCCGGCATCCCCCAATAGATTTATGATTAGATTTCATGGAGTTTGCGCGAAGTAAACATGTATCGGTGTTAATTTCGTGTCATTATCTTTCAGTGGGTCGGACTCATAATATGCATGCATGCTAGCTAGTACGCCATCTGCAAACTGCTCTTTTGTCTTGTATTCGGGGAGATATAAAGATGATTGAATCAGAATCAAAGTTGAGGATTTGTTTCTCAATTGTTTCTTTGTTGGATATAAACAATATATAAATCTAGCGCATGATCTCGAGTTTATGAGCAAATATTCTTAACCAATTGAGCAACAAGTCTCTTACTCTGGTTGTAAAATTAGATATGAATGGATGTGGTGTATCTTGTAATTTTCATGCACTGGAAGTTTTCATCAATCATATCCGATATATCTACCGTTGTGAATGTAACCCCAAAATTACACTAATATCTGTCAAGTGGTGTCAAATCCACAATATTATAACACGTAATTTATGTATTAATTATGTACTTCAAAACATATATTCTCGTTCACTCATATTATAATTCAAGAATTAGTAACACTACGATCACAATGATAATCTTTTCCATTTAACGTGACAAGGAACACAAAACATTGTGTTATTGATAATCATCTGAAACCAAATGTTGTCAAATGCATGAGCAGATTGGTGCATTTGGTGGGAAAACCTTTAAACTTAACAACAAGGTCAATTTGCTGTTGAATGTCGGACTGTTTACAAATGCTTCCTCAGCTCTCATTAAACACCATGATAATTTTAAGGTTATTCATCATCAATATGAAATCATACCACTTGTAGAATGGATTAACTGGAGAATAATTGGGCCATGTTTTACAGCCAATGGATTTTAGGCTGATATTATTGAAAATGCAATTGTAAATATTTTTCTTCAATATCTATAAACACTGAAGGCCAACATTTTTGAAGCCATTAGATCAAATCTAACGGGCAATGATTACCAATTTTAAGCTATTAGATCAAAATCCAACGATTTGTGTGCATGTGGATATCTTATATATAGTACAATCTTCTACCGATTTTAAGTTGTTAGATCAAATTCAACATCCAATTGTGCAACGACACTCGTTGCCTAGGTACTGAAGAAATAGTATGTTCTCCTGACTAGCTATTGTACGTCCTTTACATAAGATTGCTTCTCGAAAGATTTGTGGTGCAAGATTTTTGAGTAAACAAGGATATGTGTGCTTAAATGCACATTTTAATAGATGAATATGCAATTGATATTATTGATACTTTAACCTTACAACTATTCAGAGTTAATATTAATCACCTTGGAGAGATGTCAATGTTAGGTTTGCTTCGACAAATGAGATTATCGATGTATTATCAACGTAAAAAACCCATAACATGTCAATTGTCTTTAAAATTGAAATTTTCAACTCAGCTATAAAGACAGTTACTAAAATTGATATGATTAGATATATTGTTGATAGTATTGATAATCTAACGTCACAACTATTCAATTCACGCACAATTGATATAATTGACGATATATCGTTGCTACCAGAGTAAAACTGATATATATATATATATATATATATATATATGAGAAAGGACTAAGTGGATTAAATAATGCACATGGGTTGCATGTGTAGCCCGGTGTTTGTATGTCAATTGAATCAATGCCACCATGTGCGCTCTTTCTCTCCTCTGCTCTGCTCCTCTCTCTCTCTCTCTCTCTCTCTCTCCCTCCCTCCCTCCCTCCCTCCCTCACACGCTTCATTTTCATTTTCAAACCCCTGAGTCTGCCAGAGTAGTGCTATTCATGCATTCTTTTTTGTCTTTCATATAATCTTATTAATTTTCGTTCGTTGATTTTCTTCAATTTATATAATGATCGAAAATTAAAAAAATTGAGTGAGAAATAAAAAAATATGTGTGAATAACACTACCTGTAAGCAACTGTTGTGGTGCATGTGGTCCTTTTTAAATTATATTATTACACTCCTGCCCCAACCGATCCGATCCAATCCGATCCAATCATCAAAACCCCCAATCCAATCCCACCGATAGCGACGATACCCAAACACCCGTGTGTGTTGAAGAACCCTTCATCTCTCTCCCTCTGTCTGGAGTGAGAAGAGGGACACGTGGCAGGGGATTGAGAGTGATGAATGGGAGTTCTGTCCAAAACTGTGTTAACCAACAAATGTTTCCCCTGTGAAGCAGGACAGGTGACCACACAGGGGGGCGCAGATAGAACCACCGATCGCCCAAAATGGGGACTAGTGTGCTCTTGTCCCGTGGGGACGGACGACAAACCCACATGCGTATACATTGTCATTCAACCCATCATCTCCGCTTTCTTAATCATTTTATGATATTTCGGAGTATCAGATATTTCAATTTTTAAAATAGTTAAATCTTAATTAAATTAAAAGAAAAAAGAAAACAGAAAATCCGATATTCCGAAACACAATAAAAAGTTCTGCCTCCTTCCTCAGCTCTTCAATTATATTGGCACTTTCGGCAGGTTGCCTTGCTTCTACCCCCACTCCTTTTACTACAGTCCTAGTACAGTAGTAAGCATTTAGGTCAGTGAGATATAATGTATGACCCAAATCCCAGACTATATTCATTCCCTTGTACATTTCCTAACATGTTTAAAGTGCCCCTCTCCTATTCCCCACGACATTCAAAAAGGTCTTGTCATTCTTAGTGCTTACAACGTGTATTGTCCCCAAACTTGTAAGTGGGTCAATTGTGTCCAAACCATCCCTAAATATTGTTGTGCATTTCAACCTAAAATCAATTGACAACGAATAGATGATTACATTATAATGTGATATTAAAGTAGGTTATAAATGTGACAAACATAACGATATCACATGCACACATGTCACCGAGTAAGAGCCGCCCACATGTTGGTAATACGTGTGAGAGAACATGAACTTGAGCTCACATGCTTTATAATATTAGTGGACATTATCATTGTATATAAAATTCACAAGTGTTAGGACGTGTTTTTGTGCATCTAAATAATATTTACTAAGATTGCTTAAAAGAAATAGGGAGTTTTAACGAAAATCCCGCGGTACTATTCAATTTAACGAAAAACTACATTTTTGCACTAAAAAGTCAAATCTGGTACTATTCACTTTACCATTTATTTGGTCATCATCGTTAAAACTCAAAGTTTTCAAACCTTTTTCATTAGTTTTCCTAAAGAAATATCGAGTCTCTCTACGAATTGCCAATTGAATTTGAATTGAATTCTCAAATTCTTATAAATGCCGCTAAATTAAGAGAAAATTAGAGATCCCCATATCCTCAAGTTGCTCTATTTTCTAGTTCTTCTGGATTAGGGCGAAAGTTATTTTGTACAATTTGTAACAATAAGATTATTCTTTTCACAGAATGGTACCTAAATCTAAAAGAATGAAAATAGGGTAGTTGGATAAACCCTAAAAAAGAAATACATAATCTCATTATCAACCAAAACCTTATGAAATTACTAATTTAACTTTCTAATAAAAACAAAATACGAATAAGAAATATGAGGCAGAAATGTAATTTCACACAATAATAGTAATTGGGATATTTTTTCTTTTGTCAATTTCCGTCGTAAAGCAAGAGCAACATTCTTTTGTACTACGATGATAGAGGACTTGCGTAATTCGGTTATTTCTGCAGTTTTTTTTTCCACTAGTGCTGTTGGGATGGAACTAGAATTACTTGAAAAAGAAAAAGAGAAAAGAGCTGGACATAGTGTATATAACAGGTTAAATGACAATTACTTGCACAGAGAGCGAAAAAGGACAAATGGAAAAAAGAGAGAAAAAAATTAATAAAAAAAAGAGGATTGATCGATATTCGGACAAATGGCAACTTGCCAAAGCCGTCCAATCAAGTGGAGCCGGAAGTTGAACCGGAGAGCAGCTGAGTGAGCCGGCTCATGGCTCGGACCTGCATCTCCAGAGCCGCGATGTAATCAGTCGCTTCATCTAGAATCACCGGCAACGGCTGTTTCCGGCAACCGGGAACCAACCGCCCCAGAACCCGTACTTTCTTCTGCACGGCCGGCAAGCCCTTCCCTTTCAGCCGGTGGACACTGAACTTGGATTTCTTGGGCCGGGTCGACCCGGTCCCCGACGCCGCGGCGGATCTCTGCCGTTTATGCTGACGGAACTTGATTTTAAGGCGGCTGGTGAGAATGGCGCGGCTCCAGCGGGTCTTACCCTTAGCTGCGACGGCGAGAACTCTGTCGGCGGCCTCGCGAACGGCTCGGCCGCGTCGTGGAGTGGAAGAGGAAGCGGAGGAGTTGGCGGCGGCCGTGGAGGAGTCGGGTGCCGAGTTAATGGAGACCTGGGTGAGGGCGTGGAGGAGCTTGGTGGAGTAGAGGTGCTGCTGGGCCTCGGACTTCCACTTGGCGTGGCTGTGGGCGGGTTCTTGGTGGTGGAGGTGGTCCTGCTTGGGCTGGATTTTCTTCTTCTTTTTCCTTCTAGAAGAATCCCGAGCTCGATCGGAGGTGGCTATGGGATTCGAAATCAGAGTCGATGCCATGGGGTTTGATTCTCTCTTTAATTGGGGAGGGGGATTCGGAATCAAACGGAGGAATGGGAATTGGAATTGGAATTGGAATGTTCTTGGAGGGGGATTTGGTTTTCTGTTAATCAAACGGAGAAGTGGGATTGGAGTGTTGAGAGAGAGAGAGAGAGAACGGAACAGAGGTTGTTGGAGGTGGAGAGTGGGAGGGATGGAGAGAGTTGAGAGGAAGAAGAGGAGGCACGGTGGGAAGAGGCTTATAAAGGAATCAAAAGACAGCATCCGTCATTTCCTTCAAACCCACTCACTATTTATTGTTGGAAAATTGTCCTTTATTAGATTTCAATTACCATCGATAATACTATTTTAATTTACCGTTAAGGAGGAGGACTGACGATTTAAGATTCGGACACAGTAAATTAAAGAACGATCATATCCATCAAAACAGTCCATCACTTATGAAATACGATAAAATGTTCTCATAACTTTTCCTTTCAAATTCATTTTCTTGCCTAATATAAAGTCTAAACATTAATAAAGTATTCTTATGAAAGAAGTTTTACTTACTGTGTTACCTTAATACCATCCTACCAGGGGTAAAATGGAATTGTGTGCTGTTTATAATTTGAAAAGATGAACTGAGTACTTTTTTAAATCTTTATTCTCTAATTTTGTAGTCAAGCACACCGGAAATTCACTTATACATAAAACAATGGGCATCTTTAACTCAATTTGGCAACATGTGTTTTATGTGAACGAATTTGATTAAAACATGTGTTTTGTTTCGATTCACATGGCGATGTGGGTTGAAAACAAAAGTACTCGAAAACTCTAGGATTTTTCTTTCTATTATCAACACAGTTTTAAGTTGAGTACTGTATGTTTATCATAAGCCAACAAATATGATAAGTTATGCATTGTTATCAACCTTTGCCCCTTCTTTGCTTAGGTCCAATCTTGTTCCCTTAAACCTACTAGGCTACATACATTGCCAAATAATGTACTGAAAGTTGCATGACATACCAAAATGACCTCCCTTTGACAAACAAGGTTTTGCCATTGTCCTCTTTGCGATAAAACCTTTTACCTGAATTTAACATCTAAACTAAAACGATACCAATCATACAACTATATATGTTAACTTAAATTATTTATCTTCCTAATGAGTAGCTAAGCTAAGCCAACTCGCAATATCAAAAACCCCGGTGAACGTTTAAATGTAAGAAAAAGTGAGAGCCTTTTTAGCCAAAACAATCCGTGAGATTGGCATAGGTCTTTCAAATTTAAAATTATAGAATTGGTTCATGAGATTGTCCACCGGCATCAATAATTTTAATCATGTTGTGAAAAATCTCCATTAAATTATGTTATGCGATCTATATTGAAGAAGCCACTAGTTCAAGTGGATGGGTTGATATGACAAAATACCCTCAATTTAATGAGATCTTTCACGGAAAGATTATAATGATTGACGGTGGACAATCTCAGAGACCAAAGTGAAAAAATTATGTTAATCTCAAAGACCAATTTGATTAAAAAGCCAAAATGTCAAGTAGTAACAAAAAATAAATGAAAAAGAATTAAGAGGAAAAAAAAAAAAAAAGCAAAGTTTAGTTGAGGAAATAGTGAGAAGCAACACCTGCCAATGAAAAGGAAAGCCACCAAATAACATAATATGCTTAACCCAACAAACATGAACTAATAATACATGATGAAAAGATAGATTAAGGATTAAAAATTGAAGATTAAGATTAAGGGGTTTGGGTTTGGATTTGGATTTGGTTGGGTTGGGGGGCCAATTAACTGTAACAATTTTATTGGATGGATGGTGGTGGTGTTGGCTTCCACTAATTGACCAGATCGGGGGGCCCCCACATAAAATATTTTGTTCTCATTCCGTGCATTGGATTATTGGGGGTAGGATGGGGTGAACGGTGGTGATCCAGAAAAGAAATGATAAAAAAAAGGAGAAATGCATGTGCAACGTGGGTTGGTTTCTCTGGCACTTTTGCTATCCCTCCCAGGCCTTTTTTTTTGTTTTTGTTCTTGTTTTGTTGGGGTTTTTGGAGTTTTCTTCCTCTGATGTGTGGACAGTTATGCTCCACCTCCACATTTCCTCTCCCAACGGGGCTTCTTCCCTTTCACTAATGTTTTTATGTATATTAAAACAAGATATTTCTCATACTATAATCGCAATATGCGACCTAATTATCACAAGGGGTCACGCTAATCACGTTATTTTCTTATAATACAAGAAAAACCCTCTCTTTTGTTTTTGGTTTGGCTTCCATAACCTATAGGTTAACTATTGTGTGCTCTTAAAAAGTATGATCAAATTACGCATTGCTCACTCAAAGTTACAATGCTTCTTTTTGTTCTGTCTTCGATGTTAATTAACAATAATAACGAAAATAAAAATAATAAAATATCCAAAATTATCCCATCCAAGGTTCATTTCATCGGGCACAACTCGGAGGAAAACCACCGGAGACATATTCCCATACCAAATCTAACAACAATTATTTGGTCCAAAATCATAACAACAACAAAAAAAAAATATTTTAAACAAGAAATAGTGCTGACAATCTGACAACGGGATAAAAGAAGTGTGGATGCGCCCATCACTTACGATTTTGGGCTTAGTTTATGTCTTAAAGTTTTGCTAATCATGAACCTAATCCTAATTCTCACCAAAAATCATGGTTAGCATGTGTTTTATCCCAACACTTTTGAGGAGCATTGTACTAGGAAACTTTAAAATGTGTTTTTGAAAGATTAAAAAATCCACCACAAGGCGGTATTATGATGCACCAGAGGGATTGCCTCCCCTGTAACAGACACAATCAAACAATTGAGGCACAATAAAGTGGGAGGGGACAACGAAAGCACCAGAAAAACCTAGAAATTAAAGATGAAGGTTGGGAGGTGATGGTGAATATGGGTTCAAATCAATGGTTCTGTAAATGAATCCTGACCGGTGATTGTGGTGGTTTGGTGTGAAGTATGATCATAAATATCTAGGGATGGAAAAAAAAATACTGAAAATTCCAAACCAAACCGACAAAATTTCGAAACCGAACAAAAAAAATCCTAAACTAAAAATCCCGAAAATTTCGGTACCCAATCCCAAACCGATCTCGAAATTTTGGTATGGGAAACGATCTCACACTTTCATCCGTTTGGTAATCCCAAATCGAACCGAAATAAAAAATATATATTTGGAATTGTAACAACCGTTGGATTTGGTTGAGATTTAATCTCAACTGTTGAATCCAAATAAAACCCTCACTCAATCACTCTCTCTCGACTTGACCTGACCTTACCCTACTCTCTCATCCTCGCCAAGTTCTCTCAATCTCTCTCCTCCTCCTTATTTGCCATCTTCGAATCCGACCACATCACACAAGTGACTCACCTCTCTCTCTCGACTGACCTCCCTGATCTCTCTCTCGACTTCTCATCCCTCACTGAAAAACACGTTGCAGGAATGGCAGCAACTCAAGTGATAGCATCGTCGATCTTCACCAAGAGTGTGGCTTCATTTGAATGACTCAGACCTTCAAGCCTTAAGTTCACTCAATCTCAGCTCACTCTATCTCTCCTTCTCGAATTTAAAGCTCAGCAGCCACCTACCCTCTCACAATCTGACTCCGATGAACTCTCTCCACTCCGACCACCACCACACCTCACGGCTTCATCCTCCACCACTAATTCTCTCCATTCTCTGTGTGCGTGGGGTTTCGAATTGGGGGCTCGGGTCAGGAGGAGGATGCAGGTCGGTCTGACTATCTCTTCACTCTGTCTCTATCTCTGTCTCTCTTCCCCCCCTCCCCCACCAATTCACTGTCACTCTCTTTGATTTTAATTTGGGGTTTTAATGTAGGTTCAAATGATTTCAATTTCAATCTAGTTGATTTGGATTTTGATGCAGGTTCGGTTTCGGGAAATCCTGAAATACCAAAAATATTTCTGGAATCCCGAAGTTTCAGTTCAGGATCGGTCGTCGGATTTTTGTCCTGAAAATTTTCGATTCAGGATATGGTATGCCATTTTCGGTTCGTATCCCATACCGAACTAGCCCTATAAATATCTTTTTTTTTTTACATCTCTAATCTCTATAGCAAATACAGCACGAACCTAGTGGGCAAAAACTTACCTCTAATGGGTCTTGTTTTCCGTCCTTTTATATCTTTCGGGATGTGGCTTATAATGTGGTGTAAGATGCAGAGCGAGAAGTACGGGTCCGTTAAAGGATTTTTTACCTCTTATCTCTACATATCTCATAATATGATTGATCAGATGATGTGAGATGCAGAGAGACGGAGATAGAAATCTGTTACATATAAATTGTTCTCCAAGTATGGATGTAATAGAATTCTAAGAAACAAAAGCAAACTTGTGGCATGTTAATTGGGCACCTAGATATGCCCTACTATGTGATTAAACTAGGTTTTTGGCGTTATGATAAATTTGTTTAGGGTGAAGATTGAAGAACATAACCAAACCAATGATTGCAACACAGAATCTTCATCCGTGGCTCTTAGTGTTTTTCCCTCTAATCATGCCAATCACTACTTTAAAGTTTAAACAACAGCAAACTCTTCTCCCCTTGTGTATTATACCCAACCAGAATCTTTGCTTTTAAGTACAGCTAGCTCTCTTCTTCTTTCACTGTATCATTAATCTAAAAATTATTTTCAAGATTAAAAATAAGACATTCACCTTTTGGTCCAGACCACTCATTGGCGCGATTTGATTGGTTCGCTCCAGCAAGTTGATCTCACAGTAGACGCTTATCCCGTCCTTCACCTGTTCTCCAGTGTCCTTATCCCATAAAATAAAAGCAATTAGGTCTAAAAGGAAAATCATTAGTAACTTGGAAGGAAGATATGCTTTTGAAAAAAACCAACTTATAGCTGTCGTCTAAACATTCACCTCCCCTCCATTAATCTATTCCCTAAGATAGTTTAGTGCTGTAAATTAGAACAATTCTTTGACCCCTAAGGTTTGACTGGTTTTTCTTCCTTCTGTTCCAATTGAAATACAGGTGGAGAGCAAGCAGACAAAAGGATAAACAGCCTATTTAAACAGACAAAATGATGAGCATCATGATACCCCCGTACTAACAGAATGACAAATTAAGCAAACTAGTTGGTGGATAAACCGGGAGGCTCAAGCAACCGATTTTTGCATTACCAATAATCTTCTGAGATGAATCAAATGTTTAGTATATTGGAATTTCATCTTTGGGGCACACATAACTGCTTCTAGACGACGGACAGACAGAACCATTTGACTAAAATCCTTGATCAAACTCACATAATTAAATCAATAGCCGACATGTGACTTCAGAAGTACGGTGTTGAAACTAGATTTCAGAATGATTTTCCGGACAAGGAAAACCAGATGCTGATAACAGGAGTTCTATTTCCATGCAACGTAAGCATCAACCTAAATAAGCTTGTATTAGGGCACCAATGTCCTCACCAATGCATTGACAAGATTGCACAAATGTGGACGTGTGTACTCATGGGCCAAAACATGAGCCCAACCCAGTACACAAAATTAAAATGCGGACATGTTAACCTATTCCTGTGGGCCAAAAGAAAAGAAACAAGAATTGCACAACACAAAGGCCCAAAAATGTCCTTGTAAAAAGAGTAGGAGGGTCCAATGCAATTACCAGTATATCTCTACTGACAAGTTACAAACTAATGGAGTGTCATGCTGAAAGTCACAGAACACAAAATTACTAAGATTAAATTGGAGTCACCAGAATATCACATTCGGCCTCGTTTGGTGACTAGGATTGGATCGGAGTGGATAACGATCCATACTAAAGTCAGAGCATAAATATTAATATGTACACAAGAATAATATATACTAAAACCAATTTCAATCAAATTCTCACTAGTCACAAGCAAACACCACGAGCATAGACATGTACACAAAACTAATCTTTCAGATATGGATATAACTATCCATTGTGAACTGTGCAATTCCACAACCATGAGCATAATACCAAGAACAAGAGTATTCTTATCAGCTCAAAATTGGAAAAAATCGAGTGGAACAGTAAAATAAAAACCACTAAGGCACGCGACAAAGGTCTTACCGCTCAGGCTTGATCAAGTAGGCAGAGGTCCACGAAAATTGCTTCGGCTTCCAGAGCTGAACACCCATACACCCAATGCAATCATCCAGAACACGAAACACGCCATCGTTATGTAAGCTTTTGCCGACAGAAGTTCAGCAAGCCGGTCCCTCTCTGCAGGTGAAGTGTGGAGCTCCCCTATGACAATCTCAACCAGTGCATCCAGAATCTTCTTAGATTTAGTATCCAGCTCAGAATTTAAGACCTGAGACCGCGCTTGCCTGAGAAATCTAGCTACAATGTCAGCCTCCACAGAACCAAAGTTCGATCCATCAAATTCGCTCGATTTACGAATACTCAGAGAGACATTGCCCGGTCCTTTCTTATTAACACTAGCCTCCGGAGACGGTGAGAGATCGGACTGAAACAATATCTCTGATGAAGCCGACAAAGGTGGATCCGGCATCAGCATCAGACTCTAAATGATAAAATACACAATTGAAATCGTCACAATCACAGTCGATTTCAAACCAAACAGCAATTTCATTTCATTCCGACATTGTCTCAGTAACCAAACAGTCACATTAAGATCGATTCAAATCCAATCGGTCTGAGCTAAAAATCATAAGCAATCAAGAGAAATAAACCAGTAAATCCAAACGAAAGTCGGATTTGAAATATATAGCGCGAAATTTCAAAAAATGGGATTGAAATTGAAACTTACCTCGGTGAAATCCACATCAGAAATCACAGAACTCGGAGTGAAATCCACTGAAACATTGGAATTCGCAGAAACAGGAGTGTAATCGACTGAAAGCTTGAAATTCTCCACCGGTTCGTCTTCGGAAACTGCGGAAAAGACGGTGTTCAAGCTCTTCTTCGGAATCTGCCAGAGAACTCGGAGGATGAGAAATATCGATCGAAATCTAACGTTAAGATGCGGAAGATTTCGAAATCGTACCTTCTTCTTGGGAACGGGAGTCACGAGCTTTGCAGGTCGGGATAGGTCCTTGAGCGGTGTTTGGTTCTCTCTCATTTTCTCTGGTTCGTTTGCTTGGCGGGAGATAAATGAGTTTTGATTTTCCCTTTTTTTTTTCTTTTGTTTTTTTTTTTTAAGAGCGCGTTTGGGAAATGATGGTATATATGGGCCTAAGGCCTAAGGATGAAGAAGAAACGAGAAAGAAGAGACTCGAGAGAGGTCCATCCCAAAATGGCCCAATTAAACTTAATATGGGCTTGTATATAGGCCCACTTTCAGCTTAGTTGAGGGTTATTATGTCCATTCAGTTCAGTTAAGGACGTTTTTAAAAGCTGCACTTGTGTTTTACACTCTAATCTATCTTAACCTAATGCGTCATGGGTTCAAATTTTTATCTGTAGATCAATGCAAAATAAAAATCTCAAAACCTAATTGAAAGTCAAGGGGTTAATCAGAAAAAGATTGTAAGATTAGAAGGCTCAATACATGGTAAAAGTTGATCCAAATTTTGCATCAACGCCATCCTAGCACTTGTGTTTTACTCTCTACTCTCTCTTAACCTAATGCGTCATGGGTTCAAATTTTTATCTCTAGATCAATGCAAAATAAAAGTCTCAAAACCTAATTGAAAGTCAAAGGGTTAATCAGAAAAAGATTGTAAGATTAGAAGGCTCAATACATGGTAAAGTTGATCCAAATTTTGCATCAACGCCATCCTAGTAAGTATGTCATCGTCATTAGAAAATGAACAACATGCAGTATTGATGTTATATGGGTAAAAAAAAATACAGCTCTTGCATTCTTAAAAGTTTGCTTGATAACGATTTTGTTCTTGCTTTAAGTTTTTCTTAGACATAGAGAGAAATTATATGGTAGGATTAATGAGGAACATAGAAGGATGAAGAGAGGTGGTGAGAAGGGATAAGTCAAGGAATATTTGAAGGGGAAAACAATTTAAATTGTATTCAAATTTTGGATTTTAATAACTCAATAAATAAAATTAAAATTAAAAACTAGATGTGATGTTGATCAAACGGCGAAGTTGATCGAAAGTCAACTTGAAAAGTGCAAATTAGGCTAAAAGAATTTGCAAATTTGGGTTCATTTTCGATATTTTGTTATTTGTTAATTATTTTCTTATATATTTAGGATTAAGTTATATTATAAAGGGGCTTTTAGATTCAGGTCCAAAAACATAACGTGTTTTTAGGAGTGAGTCCAATTATCTAATTAGATGTTTTTATTTCTTTTATACTCATTTTATATTTTCTAAAAATATTAAAAATCAATTAAAATCTTTTAATATTATGCATTTTCCAACTCCAAAATATGTGACAACCCGTCCCGATTTTTGTACCGTTAGTGTGAAATGACAATTTTGCCCCTGGACGTTATTTAGCGTTGTAGGGTGTTGTTTGAATTGTTTTTGTTTGTGGCTGCCATCTGGATCACACACACACACACACACACACACCCGTGGACCCTTCCTTTCTCCCTTCTCACTCGAATTTTCTTCCAGTTTCTTCCATTTCCTTTGCAAAAGTATCGACGAACCCCAAACTATCTTCTACTGTCACGGATCGACGTCGAGGAGGTTACCTTTGTGTTCCTTGTGAGCTCAGGAGCTCATCCATACCCTTAAATCGACGTGAGGTCTTCGAAAACCCTAAAACCCGTGAACCCAGTTTTGGTGCACTGTTCATGCACACGTGATCGTGAGGTTTTTAGAAGGTTTTAAGGTTCTAGGAAGCTTTGGAACCTTCTCACGAAGCTCGGGGAACAATTTTGAAGTGTTTTGGACGTCGGGAAGCCCAGTTTCAGGGAGTTGCAGGTTTAGCCGGAATATCGTGAGTTTTTCAAGCGAGATTCCATTGGTTTTGGGTCTCCAAAGTGGTAAGGTTTTGTTCTACTCGTTTTAAGCTTCATTTTGGTACCAATTTCATGGAATTTGGTTGAGAATTGAAGAAGATATTGAAGTTTGAAAATATTCCAGTTTTCTGGCGAGAAATCGAGTTGCAAACGGCGGCAACCGATGAGGCTCACCGGAGAAGAAGGAGAATATTCCGTTAGAGTTAACGAAATATTCTAACAGCGTCAGGTAACGACTGTTAACGTCTGTTAGGGTTTTAACGGAATATTCCTTAACGCCGTTAGGGTTCCACACGCGTGCCAAGCACGTGCCCGTGTGTGGCCAGCGTGTCTGGCCGTGCCTTGGCCGACGCGTAGGGTCGTGTGGGAGGTCAGAAAATTATTTTTAAAATATGGGGATGTTTGTGGGATTGAGTAAATCACGTTGGTATATTCAAACATCCCAATTGAGCAATGTATGAAAAGTTATTATCTAAGGTTGGTTATGTGCGTTAAATTGACGTTTTTATAGTTGTTTCGCATATATGTGAGGACTATCTGGAGGACGAGCGCAGCCATGCGAGGCTCGGGGCTTACGATCCTTCTACGTATCAGTGAGTGGGTTTTAAGTTTTCCGTATATACCTATATACTTGAGAATTTTCCAGAGAATGCAGTTAAATGTTTATATGTTTTTAAAATGCCATGCATAGTGTTTGCATATTTAGTTATGCATTAGTAGTTGAATTTACGTATGCTTTGGTGCCGCGGACACTCAGGTAAGTTAGGTGAGTATGTTTGTTAGTGATAGATGTGGTGTTGATGAGATTGAGTTATAGCTTATATTCCTGCACCTCGGTGATTGTGCTCCGCCAGAGTAGGGCCTAGCCTTCACGTGATCATTCACTTCCCACACCGTATGCTTACCTTGGATCCAAGGCAGGTGCCAGCCTGTCGTACAGACCACTTTAGGTAGTTCCGACTCATAAGTGACTTGCGATACTTCGCACAACCTTCACGTAATCGTAGCACTAGAGCTATTTATTTACATCTAGCCTGTCGTACAGACCACTTTAGGTGGTTCCGACTCGTGTGCAGGATAGTGGTTGAGGAGCTATAGATTCAGCCGTACAGGTCACTTTGGGTGACTCCGGCTGACGTGTTGATATTATCAGCATATTATGATTTGTGTTATCTCACCTGCTTGATGCTTATATTGTTGATCGGATATTTTGGCACGACATATATTTGGCATGGCATATATGAGTTTTATCATTTTTAGCATGATTTGATATATGAGTATGTATAATATTTTCTGGAAAGTATACGGGTTTTACAGAGAGGGGTTAGTATTTGACATTGAAATGGTTTGAAAAAACAACTTTGTTTTTGCCCACTCACGTTTTCTGTTCTGCGCCCCTCTAGGTTTTAGGTAGCGAGGACATGGGTGACGGAAGAGGCATCGAGGCAGTTCTGACAGATCACCCTCTATGTAGGATTTTCTAGTAGTCACTTGTGTAGTGTTTGTTTGTTCTAGACTGCACGTAGGATACTGGAACTCCTACTTTGCATTTTTCCTTCTATGTTTGTCACTAGCACTCACTGATCTTTTATTGTTTATTATCTTGGCGACTTTATTTTCTTCCTCTCTTTATTTTCACTCTCTTGCTTCTGCACTATGCATTTGGCTACGTCACCCTCACATGACGGCCAGCACGCTCCACATTTAGATTCAGGGTGTGTCAAAATATCTAATTAATATCTTATAACAAAAAAACTAATATACTAACATAAATCTATCTGCAAAACATTCTACCCTAACTCAAGTAGCAAATATATGAATGTATATTATACATATAAGTGAGATGTGAAACCTAACTAAAGGGTAGAAAAAAAACATAATATACCTACAAGCAAGACACATTAATCTGTGACAGGTTGACTATGAAAAAGAATCTGTCGTATAGGTAGATAAATACAATTAACTTGTGATATAGGTTGATTATAAAAATTAAAATAAAATCTATAAATGGATTAAAGCAGGAGGAAGAACAAGAAATAACAAAAAAATAAATATAAAGAAATAATCAAAGAGATAATTAGGAAGAAATTTGATTTTTACAATAAAATTTTTTCATTGAAGACATAATTATTTATAATAAAATAATTAAATTTAAGGTATTGGACTTATTTTAATAAACCGGACTATTCTTATTATTGGTTCAAAAAATTGGATTTATATCAAGTTTCCCCTATTATAAATAGATCTTGTTTGTTATCTTTCATATTATTATCAATTAAAATTTTCTCATATCTTTCTATTTATCACGCCACGTCAAAATGATTATCAAATAGAGGTTAAAGTTACAGTAAAGAAAAAATTCGGAATGTTCTTCATTGTTATTATTGCATGTAGACTACTGTTAAAAAAAAAAAAAAAAAAAAAAGTTAGACTAAACTGCATTATCACCTAATGCTTTTCTCCTAATTAAAATGGAAACGCAATGCACTATAATAAGTTAATTATTAAGTAAATTAATATTAGCACCAATGAAAATCCCTTAATTATCAAAGTTTAATTAATATTTTATGATCACCATTACTTATTTTGTTGGACACTGGCCATGAAAACTTCACCCAATGCTTAATATCGTTTTTATAGTCCTAATGAACTGCTCATAAGAAAAATAACATGTACCCTCCATTTCTCCAAACAAAGTTGTAAACACCAAGTTTCTTGCAACGAATGAAACAAGAACACGTATACAAAATAATGAATTTATATTAATGAGTTTAGGGTTACAATCTCTTAGTACAAAACTTAATCCTCTAATTCGATGTCCGAAGATGTGTGTATGTAGTTGATCTAGGGTTGCAGAGACGTGATTTCTTCAAAGGTCATCAAGACTTGATCTTGAACGAAGTAGGACCATGAGCGGTTTCACGTGGTGGGTGGTGTTCAACTTTGGTGTGGATAAATCAGCATGTGTATATATTGTGCTTGTTGATTCTCCACGAGTTTGATGAAGAACACAAGTGTTTAGGTGTTTGAGCCTCTTAGGATGTGTGGATGTGAGAGGCCCCTTCTTTAGAGTCTCTTATTTATAGGCTCTTCCAAGTTTTGATTGAGGCTTGATTTGGCTTTGATTAATTGGCGAAAGAACCCGTACTTGATTTTGGTCTTGTTTCGTGATTTGACGTCATCAAATAATTTTAATTTAAGATAACCTTTGATCTAAATCAAACAAATCAATCACATTTCATCCTTATTTTGGCCATCCTTGATTTGGCCAGTCTCCTCCAATTTGGCATTTCATTTGTTTTAAATTTAAATCAATTAATTTGTTTGATTTAAGTTAAAATTAATTAAAGAATTAATAAAGATAATACCTTAATTACTTTTTGCCAAATGTCTACGTGTGTCACTCTTGAAGACTTGTCCGATTTTGATGAGTTACATTTCATGTGTATGATTTGTGAGACACACGATGCATGCCACGTAAACCTTGACATGTCGAAATTTTAATATGTTGTTGAGTATTTATTTCGCTGAAATTTACATGTCTACAACAGTAATTCAATAATGTTTATGTATAAATAGCCGCCATGCTCCCGTAAGTATTATTAGTTAGCAAAATGTACGAGTTATAGTTTACCTTATGAAA